TGGGAGGCCAAGGCAGGTGGATCACTGGAGCTCAGGAGTTCAAAACCAGCCTAGGCAACATGGCGAGACCCCATCTCTACAAAAAACGCGAGCATTAGCCAGGTGTGGTGGTGGTGCACGCTTACAGTCCCAGCGACTCGGGAGACTGAGGTGGTAGGACCACTTGAGCTGGCGAGGTTGAGTGCACTGCGATGGCACTACTGCACTCCAGCCTGAGCACCAGAGCAAGACCCTGTCTCAAAAAAAAAAAAGAAATTCATTAAGTCAACTATTTGGTAGATAACAAGGAAAAAAATCAACACGCCAGAGAGGAAACTAGCTTTTTTTCTCTCTTAAATTAAATATAAGGGGCAGCCTCTGAAAGCGAAGAGGAGGTTCTGCACACGGAAGTCATTAACTGGTGGACCGGAGGCCCACCCTGCACCCTGCACCCCCTTCCGGGTCCTCTTAACAGTTCAAGCCTTCCTGGCCTGTTTCGCGGTTCGAGGGGACACGCATGTGGCTGAGAACGAGGTCCGTGATTGGAGCAGCCAGCAGCAGCCAACCCACGCACCGACGGCTGGAGTTCGGATCCCCTCCGGGAATGAGTCATTTTAATCGTCGTGGGTGAGATCTAGCCAGGGGATAATAAGCCGCCAGAACCCAGGTCACAAAGCTGTTTCCTGGGAAGACGCCGAATTCCAGATTTCTGCTCCCAAAGCTAAAACCCACGCCGTCTTGGGAAACGCTGGGTTAAACCCTCCACTACTAGAAGGACCGAGGTGACATCATGCTGGGGAGGGGCGTCTGGGCCCGGAACCCCCGGCACCACCACGCAGCAGCCACCGGGACCGGGAGTGTGCATGTGGATCAAGGACCGTGCCCTGAACCCCCAGGCCCCGCACCCCCAGACCCTGGACCCCATCCCGCACCCCCAGACCCAGGGCCCCGCCCCGCACCCTGGCCCGCACCCCCAGACTCGGCACCCCAAGACTTCTATCGCCGCCCGCACCCCCAGACCCTGGACCCCACCCCGCACCCCCAGACCCTGGACCCCACCCCGCACCCCCAGACCCAGCGCCCTGCCCCGCACCCTGACCCGCACCCCCAGACTCGGCACCCCAAGACTCCGAGCGCCGCCCGCACCCCGAGACCCTGG